CAATGCTATAAAACTATATGGGCTTAGAAAAGGATTACATAACCAATAAATACATTTAAAATCAAAAGTTTCTTTTCTGCAGAATCTCTCAGAGTAGCTAATATGGTAACATGCATTGCAAATCTAGAGAAGAATAAAATATGTCATTTTCCAAGCTCATTTAACTACAAAATACTTTTTTTCTGGATACTATCAATGTGAAAAATGTGTTACATTATGTCACATTTATATCCATTTTGTATTGATAATTTTCTAAAGATCTGATAGTAGGAAATTCTCTTATCTCTATGTGACTATCTCATACCAAGTAATTCTGACACTTACTGTTGCTGACTCCCTGGGTAAATCTTTTGACTTTCTTGAATCTCTCTGTTCCGGGTTCATGTAATATGGGAGAAACTTTCCTTTTTGCATGCTTTACAGTTTGTTTTAAATGATAGGTGAGAAAATTTCTCTATAAGTTGTTGCTGTTATTATAGTGTATCTATTTTCAGTGTTATAGGAAGTTAGTTTTTTTGGCTAAATTTTGGTCAAAATAAGATAGTAAAGTACATTAAATGTTTTGGAGGCCTAATAGATACTTGTTTAGCATGGTGTTGTACAACGAGATCTGGAAGAATTTTCAGGAAGTTCGGGAATTGGAAGCAAAAGTCCTAGCTTTTTCTTCTAACTGGACTTGTCACCTTGAGATGGCTATTTAACCTCTTGGACTTTCATTTTCCATCCGTTTAAAACAAAATGAATGAACTGCATAATCTTTTAGATTCTTTTTTGACCTAACATTCAATGATTGCTGTACATCTTTCCTATTCCTCAAATAGGGAGGGTTTATAATAATTTGTTTTATGCTGCTACGTATTAAGAGTTTGAAGATGGGAATATTTGCTTCTTAGAAACATAGGATATATGAGGAAAAATATCCTGTGAATTGTTAGAAGAAATTCATAAAGATATTCTACTAGTTTTGTAAACTTTCTCAGATGCACATTTTCATGCACTGTAGATGAGTTTTCTTTTATGAGCTACCTTATAAACAACTATGGATGAGCTTTCTTATGTTAGTCTTAGCTTTTATAAAATTTTCCAATTTATATTTTTCTTTTCCATTTCTTAAAAGCTCTTTCACAAATCAGATCTTAATAAATACATGTTTTACTATTTCACACTGCCCGAATTCCATACTTTACTTCTCCTCATTCTGTTCTACATTTTTTCTGTCATCTTTCTAACATATAAATTATTTAGTAATTTATTACTTATATTGTTTGTTGTATCCTTTCCTCATTGGAATGTAAACTCTACTTATTTTTTGTCTTTTTTCTTCAACGATATGTTCCAAGCAACCAGAACAGTGCCAGGCACATACCAGGCAATCAGTTAATATTTGATGATTGAGTGATCAATGCCTATGGGTAATAAGTATTTACCTTTTCAAAGTTTTATACTCTCTTACCTTTTATTTTAAACATATATGTATATCAGCGTATCTGTATTTTTTTACAACAGCATTATTTGTTTTACATCATAAATAATAATTTTGCTTTTTTATATCTTCACATATTTATATTGATTTCATGGTGTTTTATAAAATTCTAAAAGTTTTCTCAAAGTTTAGTTAAAATATACGAATGTTTACTGTCGGAAGGGAAATGGGGAAATGGATATTGAGAAATCAAGCAAGCAATAAGAAAAATCATCTTATTGATTTCTGCTAAGAAATCTGTTGTCTTAGATGTTTGACTTTTTTTTTTTTTTTTTTAAGATGGAATCTTGCTCTGTTGCCCAGTCTGGAGTGCAGTGGTACAATCTCGGCTCACTGCAACCTCTGCCTCCTGGATTCAGGCGACAATCCTGCCTCAACCTCTGTACCACCACGGGCCCAGCTAATTTTGTGTTTTTAGTAGAGATGGGGTTTCACCATGTTGACCAGTCTGGTCTCCAACTTCTGACCTCAGGTGATCCACCTGCATTGGCCTCCCAAAGGGCATGGATTACAGGCTTGAACCACCACGCCTGGCCTTATTTGATATTTTGATTTACCTATCACTTGGGCTTTCTCAGAGCTATTGTTAATAGAATTCGTTTCTTCCTTTGAAAACAGGTGGCTAAAATCATAGAGTTGTGAAAGTCAAAACTGTTAAAATTTGAAGAGCAAGGCTAATTTGTAGTGTTTATAACTTTCCAGTATTATTAAATGACTCATCACGGCCAAATTTCTGCACTTTTATTCCCCACTTTGGATAGTGGGCAAATTAATATCAACAAATATTGGGTAAGAAAGGCATAAACAGTATAATGTCTGTATTAACATACATCATGTAGTATTAGGTTAGCTGACTGGAGTATATGGTAGTGCTGTAGCCTGCTATTCACTCTAATTCCATTTAGGAGAATTTCTTGGGTATTATAGTAATACCTAGTCTATAAAAGTGTAATAAAAAAATGCTTTGAAGGGAAAACAAAAAACTCCTTTTGGGGAAAGCAAGTTACCCAGATCCTTTTTACACCAGCTAATAGTCAAACACTGTCCATTCCAAAGTAATGTCAATTACCTGAGGTAGGAAAATATCCAAAAAAATCAGAGCTAATTAAAAAAAAAAAGTAACTAGCTCCCACCACAGCAATTACTTAACCACAGTATCCAGAATGATTTAACCACATTAGAGTCTGTAGCCAGTGGCAAGTATTGAAAACAACTCAGCATCCAAGAAGATGTACACATGGCAGCAAAGAAGCATCTCTTTGTCCTTTCTTGATGTTTGGTTTCTAGATGCTTTATGAGCAGATCTGCTTGTAGGCCTTGTGTGCTTGATGACTGGCCCAGCAGGCTCTTTCACAGATCATCACCAAACTTATTCCCTTTGCTTCTTTTTTCAGAATCTCTTTAATTAAAGCTTAATCAGTCCTTCCCCTCTGTTAGAAACTTAGTCATTCCCCTCTGTTCTTAATTAGGGCTTGAAAATTAAAAAACAAATATTTCAGACTCAAAGGTAGACCTGTCAAATATGCTGAAAATGAAAAATGTCAAATTCTGTGATATGTTCAACACCCCTCCATTTTTTTTTTGATGAACAGTGATGTGTTTCTTGGAAATTATTTCCACATATAAGGCCTGGGATAAACTGTAGCCTTATTTTCCTTCCTTCAATTATTTTTATTTATATCATTCTGATACTCATTTTTAACATGTTTTCCTTTTTTCTTAATTTCATGATTTCTCCACAGTTTATATGATTTAATTTTTTTCATAACAGTGTTGCCCCATTCTTGAAAACAGTCTTTCAGATTTAAGGTTTATAAATGAATCAGATATATTTGATTCAAAATCAGGTTTCTGAAAGGTATCTTTAAAATTATCTAATCGAGTCCCCTCCTTTTACTGTTGAGAAGCTAAGGTGCCAGGAGAAGTCACCTGCTCATTGCAGTACTTCTTAGCAGGAGAGTGGGAACTAGAATCAGATCATCTAACATCCAGGATATTTGCATGGTTTCCAACTTTTCCTACTCTGTAGCTGATGGCCAGAATATAGTGTGACTTCTAGCGGCATTATGTAATCTTTTTAGTTGGATACAGCCCTGTGAACTTCATCTGTTTTTCTGAGCTCAAATCTCTGGCTGGTCATTTGGTTTGGTACTATTTGTTTCTCTGAGTAGGGGCCATGACTGCAATGAGATGTCAGCTGACACCTACTTCATGAACTTCATCCTCAACATCAGAGTATGGAACATCTGAAGAGCATTATCTTCAGATGAAGGAATAAATTTCCCATATGCTGTTTCTGTTTTGAGACTTTAGAACTGAAATAACAAGAGTAATTGTTTGAAAGCAAGCATGTAAGTTTTATTTATTGTTAATTCATTCCCTTAACAAATGAGACTGTTTTCTGGCTTGTCTTTTTTTTTTTTTTTTTTTTTTTTTGGGGGGGGGGTGGAAAGTATGCCATGACTTTCTAATACTAATTAGGCTGAATTACTTGGTACAGAATATTTTGGAAGACCCCTCAATCCCAGCCAAACTAGGTTTGTTGGTCATGCTGATAACAATGTATGTATATATGTTAGTGAATGCAAAAAGATTTTCTAACACTAATAAATACATTTTTAAAATACTGCTTATTTTTATCTCCTTTGACATTTCTCTTTTGTGTTTGTTTTAGGCTATGTTTTTGTTATATACATTTGTATAACTTGAAAAGAAAGAAATACACACAGATATGCACACACATTGCATATACTTGCTCAAAAGGTATTTCTTTTCTACTTATAGTTTATGCCATTAAAAAGAGTTTGGAGTTGATTGACTTTCACAGTTGGGGATATGTATATGTGAGGAGGATGGGTCAATGGATACATAATAACTTTCTATGTGGCTCTTACTAGCTTTTATATTGGTAATTGGGATGTGGTTACATGATTTGTTGGTTGCCAGTGTTGTGAAGTAGTTGTTAATATTTTGCATTTTGAGACAGTAAATTCCCTTTAAAAAATACTGTGCAAATCCAGAAAGAGCAAGATAACACTGCCCTTTTCTTTGGACGTTTCAACATGAGTAGGAAAGATTTTCTTTTCTTTTTTCTTTAAAAACAGGGTCTGACTCTGTTGCCCATGATGGCGCGCAGTGGCATGAACCTGGCTCACTGCAACTTCTGTGTCCTGGGGTCAAGCCATCCTCCCACCTCAACCTCCCAAGTGGCTGGGACTATAGGCACATGCCACTGCTTCTGGCTACTTTTTGTATTTTTTGTAGAGGTGGAGTTTCACCATGTTGTGCAGGCTGGTCACGAACTCCTGGGCTCAAGTGATTCTCCTTCCCAGCCTCCCAAAGTGCTGGGATTAAAGGCATGAGCCACCACATGTGGCAATTGCACATCCATTCAGACATTTGAGAGAATAATTTATATTCTCCTTACTAAGGTGATTCATGTAATAAATATCTTTCACTTTTTGCCTTTCTTAGTTTTATAGTCCTTAATATTGATGGGTTTTAAATTATTTTGCAGGTATTCTTTAGGTGATGCTAGAAGGCCTCTTCATGAAACAGCAGTTTTGGTTGAAGATGTGGTGCATACTCAGTTAATTAATCTGGTAAGAACATTAATTTAATTTGATTCAGTATATATTCTCTGCATTCTTTTATTAGGATTGTAGATTGTAACCCAATACTTTAACAAAATATTTTATTTACAATCTTGAATTCTTTTTTGTCAGTATTATTGAAGTATAATTTATATGTAACAAAATGTACTAGTTTAATGCAAAATTTGCTGAGCTTCGACATTTGATATTATAATATTAACTTATAACACAACCATGATATAGAAAATTTTCATCATCTAAAACAAACCCTTGTTCCCCTGGGCAGTCAGCAGCTATCATCATCACAGCAAAAAGATTAGGACTCACTGAAGACTCAGATGGTTGTTAGCATTTTGTAACAATGAAGTATTTTTAAATTAAGGTGTATGCATTATGTTTTAGACATAATGCCATTTGACAATTAATCGACTATAGAATAGTGTAAACATAGCTTTTATATGCATTGAGAAACCCCCCAATTTGTATACCTACTCTGTATCCACAAAAATTAAAAGTTAAAAATTAAAAAATTTGTCTGACTACACTTTATTACAGTGGTCTGCAACTGAACTTATAGTATCTCTGAGGTATGCCTATACCATGTTTAAAGAGAAATTCTTTCATATTGCCTTCTAGTCCTTTTATGATTTCATTTTTACTTTTAGATCATTAATATATTTGTTGTTTATTCTTGTTATTTTGTGAGATGTGGATATAATTTTATCTTTTCCAAATGGGAACCCAGTTTTACCATCACTATGTATTTCAAAATTTATCTTTTTCTTAGTGATTTGAAATGCGTTCTTTATAATATACTGAATATACATATATATTGGTATCTGTTTCTCATTGTATATGTTACACTAATGGTTTAGTGTATGTATAACCTAGTATGGTATTATTACAGGTTTTATAATATATTTTAATGATTGTTAGGGCTAAACATCTTGGTAGTTGTTTTTTTTTCAGTGTTTTCCCAGCTATTCATGTATGTTTATTGTTCCTCATGGATATTAGTAGCAACCTGTCTAGCTAGTAATAAATTTTCATTGGTACGTTTATTGAGATCACAAGATTTTATAAGTTAACTTAAGGAGAACAGCATCTTTATTAAAATCTTGAATCATTCTATGAATATGGTATATCTACATTTGTTTGAAACTACTTTTGTGTCTTTTAAGTTTTGTTTTAATATTTTTCTTCTCCTAGCTTCACACATTTCTTGTTCAGTTTGTTTTTAAGTATTTCATCATCTTTGTTGCTATTGTTAATGGATTTTTTTCTGTGACGAACAGCTGAAAACATTAAAACATTTAATGAAATACATAAATCTACAGATTCAAGATGAGTGAACTCCACTTAGAACAAATCCAAAGAAATGCATGTTCAAACTGCTGAACAGTAATAGCATAATATAAATTTTAAAGCCTGACAGTTTATTATAAGGGAAGGATGATTTGAAAGACAGTGGAATTCTTATCAGAAAACATGCAGGCTAGAATGAAATGGTACAACAGTTTTAAAGTACTGAATGTAGGATATTAGATTGACTATTCTTTTTATCTATATAGCCTTCTACCCTTCTTTACATGTCCTCCTGTCTTATAAAGACACCAGATATTTACTATTTAGGGGTATTGTTATTCATAATAAATCTATGTATGTTAATTTTATATTGCAGTGTTGTAACTTTCCTTTAAAGCCAAATGCTTTTAAGGAATGTAGACCAAAAAAAAGGAAGCATATGTCCTGTTTTGTATTTACCCACATATTTACCATTTCCCATGCTCATTCTCTTTCTCACAGATTTTTGTTGCCATTTCAGTCATTTCCCTCAGCCTGAAGAAGCCTTGAACTTTTTTTGTAGTACAGCTTTGCTAATGATGAAGTCTTAAATTTTTTTCATCTGAACATATCTTTATCTTTGTTCCTTAAGTATGTTCTTCCCTACATGGAATTCTAGTTTGATAATCTTTTCCTTGCAGCTTTTGAATATGTCATTTTAATAATTTCTGACCTGCATTAGTTTCTGACAACAATGTAACTGTTATTCATTTCTTTCCCTGTATGTAACATGTAGTTTTTTCCTAGCTGCTCTCAAGATATTGTCCTTATCTTTGGCTTTGGGTAGTTTGCTGTCTCTAGGACTGATTTTTTAAATCATTATCTTCCTTGCAAGTTTGTTTTTCTTGTTGACACTAGGCATCAATTTGTGGAAGTTTTCAGCCATAAGTTTTACCATTTGGCATTGTTTCACAAGGCTCTCACGGCCATTAGTGTTTCTCCAAACTTTCTGCTCCTTTTCCTTCTATTGTTTTGTTTTATTTGACTTTGGTAATTCCTATTGATCTATATTTAACTTTATTATTTTTTTTCTGCCATCTATAATACGCTGTTTAGTCAGTGCTAGTGTGATTTTCAGTTTAGCTCATAGTATTTTCTATTGTAGTGTCTGTTTGAAAATGTATCTTACTGAGTCTAAACTCCTTTTGAATTATGGGTATGTACTTTTATATTCCATTTTAAATACAGAAGTTGGAACATTATTTGATGACCTCTACACTAGTATAAACAAGAAATAGTATGTGCTTTTGCTTATAATGAGAGATCCTCTTATTACAATAGATGCTTACCTCTCCTTACCCATTTAATATTTGAATCGTAGTTTTGATGCCTATTTATGAGATTCATCCTGTCTAGATTCCACTAAATATTACATTGAATGATATACCTAGCTAGACATAAACCTTGTTTTGTTAACTTTACAATATCCAGGCATGTGTCAGAGTGAGCTCTTCAGAGGAAAGGAAGAATTACAGAGAATAGTTATTTTTAAAAAGTCAGTTCTTTTTAACCATGTCATATTATGCAGTCATTATAAATTATATGTGTGTGTTTTGTGCTCTTCATTTAAATCCCCCTGTAGTTCTTTATCCATTTCCTATTAAGACCAATTTTTTCCCTGTAATTCTTTCAACATTTTTTTTTGAGATGGAGTCTCGCTCTGCTGCCCAGGCTGGAGTGCAGTGACAACAATCTCAGCTCACTGCAACCTCTGTCTTTGAGGTTCAAGTGATTTTCCTGTCTGAGCCTCCTGAGTAGCTGAGATTACAGGTGTGCCACCACACCCAGCTAATTTTTTGTGTTTATGGTAGAGATGAGGTTTCCACATATTGGCCACGCTGGTGTTGAAAACTTGACCTCAGGTGATCTGCCTACCTGGACATCCCAAAGTGCTGGGATTACAGGCATGAGCCACCACACCCAATCAGTATCTTTATAATAGCTCTGTTGAAGTATTTATAGTCTAAGTTCAGTAACTATACCACATTGGAAGCCATTTATATTGACTCTGCTTTTTACTTAGTAGCTGTCATTCTTGTTTGTTTGTTTGAGACAGAGTCTTGCTCTGTCACCGAGGCTGGAGTGCAGTGGTGTGATCTCTGCTCACTGCAACCTCTCCCTCCTGGGTTCAAGCAATTCTCTGTGCTGGGACTAGAGGCACATGCCACCACACCCAGCTAATTGTTTGTATCGTTAGTAGAGATGGGGTTTCACCTGGCTAGTGAGGATGGTCTTGATCTCCTGACCTTATGATCTGCCTGCCTTGGCCTCCCAAAGTGCTGGGATTACAGGCATGAGCCACCATACCTGGCCAGGTGTCATTCTTCTGGTTTTTTTTTTTCATGTCTAATATTTGTGTTTTTAAAAGTGGATATTTTATATAATACACGATTGTAACTCTTCTGAAGGCTTTTTGTTGTTTTTGTTTTAGCTGGCAGGTAACTTGCCTGGACATAAAATGTCCATTCTGCCATATTGTAGGCAGCTCTCTTCACTCCTTAATTCTTACTACTTTCTGCTGCTGTTTTTTCCCCTGTTTTTTTTCTGGCTTTTCCCCTTTTGTGTCTCTCTGTAACTTGTACATTTGAACTTTTGAGAAGAAAGGGAAAAATATAGGCAAATTGTTTTTTAAGTGTTGATACTCCCTTACTGTACAATACTAAGTAATTAGTATACATTATATTGTTTTCTAAATTTTTAATTTTTTATAATATTTATTGTTAAAATTACATAGAAAAAATTCATGTTTTGTTTTATCAATTTTTTTATGTTTTGTCAAATGTGCAGTCTTATAACCACAACCAAAATTGATTCAGAACAGTTTCGTCACTCCCCAAAAAATTCTCTCGTTCTACCCATCGTCAAACTTTTCTACCTTAACCACCCTCTGCCACCATGAGGTCCCCATTGTTTGTCACAGAAGGAGAAGACTTCTCTTTTAATTCTTTTTGTCTGTGCTTGGTAAACATTGCTAGATTCATACTCCCTTTGGCTTCAATATAGAGGATTAGTAGAAAATAACAATGAAACTTACTGCCAGGTTTATTTTTGCTTTTATTATCATTTATAATAAACACATAATTTTACATATTTCTGGGGTATAATATGATATTTTGATACGTGTATACAATGTGTAATGATCATATTAGGGTAGTTAGCATATCCATTACCTTAAACATTTATGATTTCTTTGTGTTGAGAATATTCAAAATCTACTCCTCTAGCTATTTGTATATATACAATAATTTCTTGCTGTCATAGCACCATATAGTGCTATAGAACACTAGAACTGATTTCTCCTATCTAGTTGTTTATCTGTGAGCAGCTCTTTGGCTATAATTCCCCACTTCTCTTTCCTCACCTCTAGCAGTCACTATTCTATTTATAGGTACATACCACATGTTTTCACTGATATATGGAAGATAAAATAGTTGATTTCATAAAAATATGTGCCTGGCTTATTTCTCTTAATATAATCTCCTTTAAGCTCTTTTATGTTGACACAAATGACAGAATTTCCTTCTTTTTTAAGGTGAAATTATATTTCTTTGTGAATATATACCACATTTTTGATATTCATTCATCTGTTGATGGACACTGCAATTGATTTCCTGTCTTGGCTATTGTGAGTATTGCTGGAATAAACGTGAGTGCAGGTATATCTT